GCCCGTTTGCCCCGCCCTCGAGGCAGCCCCAGTTGTGGTGCGCGCGGCGGCCGCCCAACCGAGCAGGGCGCCTCCCCAAGGCCGTCGGGTCGTGGCCGAGATGTGCACGGCTTCAGGCAACAACGCAAAGCATCCACCCGCCGGATGACTCCTCATGCATAGAGCATCCCCCCTGGCATCGTCGCTGGCGCACGCATGCGGCCTGCTGGGGCTTTGTGTGTGTGTGTGCGCAGGGAGGCCGAGCGGAAGTCCACACAGCCGCCGGCGGTGGGCAGGCGGCGGGGCACGCCGCCCCCCGGAGTCGAGGGTCCCTCCGGCTGCGGGGGGGGCGCGGAGCCGTGCGTGTGATTTGGTTCTGAGGTCCGCCCTGTTCGGGTGCGGGCGCGCGGGGCCGAAATTCATGAGCGCATTTCGGCGGGAGGAAATTCGCTAGAGCGCGCGTGAGCTGGTCCGGTGACATCCACAGAAATGCCATTTCTCCCTTACACCCGCGAGCCGGCTACCCCCAGCCCGCTTTCGGACTGCTCTGGCGGGCGCGCATGTGTGTGTGCGTGCGTGCGTGCGTGCGTGCGTGCGTGTGTGGGCGCGGGGGAGGCCGAGGACCACTTGAGAGGGGCGGCGTGTCCAGAGGGCCTTATCCCAGAGGCAATTGCCCCAGAGGGCCTTGCCCCAGAGGGCCTTGTCCCAGTGCCAAGGGGCGGCAGGGGGGTGGTGACGGGGGCTCCGGTGAATGGCGAGCAGGGGCCGGTGCGGCCGGGCGGAGGGCAAAGTATCCCGCTTGGAGAGGCAGCGTTCTGGGGTCCGCAATCTGGCGACTGGGCAGCTGCCCCTCCTCCGCTTCCCCGCTCCTCCCCCCTCCCCCCGCGCCCCCTCCGCCCTCTTCGTTTTCCCCCCCCCCCCCACCTCCTCCCGCTGCTCCCCTCTGCCTCCTGCTTCTCGGGGACCGCCGCCACCTCGCTAGACCATGGTTTACCGTGCTGTACGTGTCTCTCTTCGTCCTTGTCCTCCTCCTCCCCCGCCCGGTCGACCGGCGCCGCTGAATGTCCCCCCGTCCTCGCCTCTCTTCCTCCTTACTGACATTCGCGCGATCCTCGCGGCCGGCGCCTTCTCCTCCTCCTTCCGCCAGAACTCCGCCACCCACCTGCGCGTGTGGCATCACATCGATGCGACCGGCCAGAGGATGGGTCGCGTGGCCACGCAGGTCGCCAAGGTTCTCATGGGCAAGGGCAAGCCCACCTACCACCCGGCCGGTATGTGCTCGGCCTTTGGCGCGATGCCTTCCTCGCCCAGTTACACCCCTCCGCCGACCGGCTGACTGACCCGCTCATTCTCACGGCCCCCTGCCGCCCCTCCCTCCCCCGCGCCCCCCTTACGTAGCTGACTCCGGCGACTACGTCGTTATCACCAATGCCGCGCGCTTCGAGCTGACCGGCAAGAAGCTCCAGCAGCGCGTGCACCGCTACCACACCGGCTACCCCGGCGGCCTGAAGGAGGTCCCCATCAAGAAGACCATGGAAACCCAGCCGGATGTGGTCTTCCGCCGGGCGGTGTCCGGCATGCTGCCGAAGAACAACCTGCGGCCGCGCATGCTGCGCCGCCTGCGCATCGAGAATGGCGCGAGCTCCCCCTTCGTGGCGAATGCCCTGCGCTCGGGCCCGGGTGCGGACATCGTCCTCGAGACGCCGACTCTGCCGGCCGGCGCGGCCCCGCGCACCGTCCTCCAGGCCGTCCGCGAGTCGGAGCGCCCGCTGAGCCAGCTGCGGCGCGTGGTCGCCGCCACCAGCACCGGCAAGGCCGCCCCCACCGAGGCCGAGCTTCTGACGGCCCAGGTCCGCGACCGTATGGCCCAGCTGCAGCTGGCTCTGCACAAGTCCGGTCCGAACAAGAGCAACTACAAGACCAAGACCTACCAGAAGACCGGCAAGCACTAAATGCGCGACATATGTGTGCTCCCGGGTCTCCCCTTCTTCCTCGAGCGCATGCGACCGAGCCGCCGTTCCTTTCGCCCCTGCCCCCCTCCCTCCCCCTCCCCCCTCCCCCTCACAGATCTGCCTCTCCGTGCTGCTTGCCGTGGGGTTGCATTTTGTTCGTCCTTGTTGCTCCTGTCTTCGTTTCCCCCCCCCCCTCCCCCCTCTCAGTTCTCTCTTCTCCCCTCGCCGGTGCAGCTCACTGGGGCCGGCCCCCCTCTCCTTTCTCCCCTGTCCCCCCCCCCCCTGGCCGTGCACCGTGTCACCGGCACCCACGCCCTACGCGTGTGTTATAGATTGCCTCCATAAGATTCCCGCTCTTTGTGTGTGTATGTGTGCTTTATATCTGGATTGTTTTCCCCTCAAAACATGCCCGGGAGGGAGGCGGCCGGCGGCGGCGGGGCACCCGCGGGTCGCCGCAGCCTCTTGTCTTTCTGTTTCTGTGTGTCCGAGTGTGGGGCGCCTTGCGCCGGGCATGGAGGGCCGGCCCCGTGCGGGTGTGCGGGTGTGCGGGTGGGGCTCGCGCGGTGCTGCGAGTCCGTTGGCACCATGGCGTTAGTCGGCACTTACGGGTCTGGCCGCACTGCGCGAGTCTAACACGGGACGAGCGGTCCGGCGTGGGCAGTAGGGCCGGGAGGCGAGCCGTTGCGTTGCGCCCCCTGTCCTCCCGGCCGCCGGGGGGAAGGCGCGCTATTTGTGCTCCCGGCCGCCGGTCCCTGCTGGCCACCGTGCCCGTATCCGCCCTCGCCTCCACCCCCCCCTCTCCTACCCCCCCCCTTCTTCTTGCCATTTTGTCAGCTGTTCCATAGCGTCCCCCCCCATTTGTTGGTAGACGCGCAGCAGGCCCCGCCCCCCCTGCTCCCCCCCCCCCCCTCTCCCCCCTTCCTCTCTGCTGTACTTGCTCTTGGAGCTCAAGGCACCATGACGGAGTCCTTTGCGCTTGAGAGTGCCCTGAAGCGCTTCGAGAGCACCTTCACTCAGGCCGATCTGGCCTTTGAGAATGACCTCTTCCGCGCGCCGATGTCCCTGAAGACATGGTTCCGGTATATCGAGCACAAAACCGAGACCGGGGCATCGGACGAGGTCATCAGCTTCCTCTACGAGCGGGCCCTCAAGGGTGCGTGCCTGCAAACGGCCGTCATGCGCCTCGACCACATGCTCCCCCCCCCCCCTCATCCCTCCCCTTCCCTTCATGCTCGCTGCCCCTTTCTGGCATTCCTCTGATGTGATTGCGCTGCTGCCGCACATGCTCCCCTCCCTCTCTCCCAAATAGCCATCCCGTACAGTTACAAAATTTGGCACCGGTACTTGACCCTGTTGCGGAAGCGGGCCACCGGCCTGCCGATTGGCCACCCGGCCTGGCGGTATCTGGTGACCTCCTACGAGCGGAGCCTGGCATATCTGTCAAAGGTGCGCAGTCCCCCCCCCCCCCTCTCTCTCTCTCTCTCTCTCTCTCTCTCTCGCTCGCTCGCTCGCTTGCGGGCGCGCGCCTTTGTGGCGTCCCTCCGCGTAGGGGCTTTCCCTTTCTTTATTTGCCTGCCTCTGTTCCATTTCGACCTTCCCCTCGTGCACGGGACACCCTCTCATTGACACAAGCCGCCCCTCGCTGGATGTCTGGACGTGGTGGTTACGGCGGGCAGATGCCGCGCCTGTGGATCGAGTACTGTCTGCTGCTGGAGGAGCAGCAATGCATCACCGCCACCCGCCGCGGGGTGCGTCCTTCATTTATGGCGTCCCTTCTTGTCGGATGCTTGCCTGCCGGCGCCTCGTACTGACCCGTATGACCCCTGTGTTGCTCCGGCCCCCGGCGTGCCTGTGCGCCAGTATGACCGTGCCCTGCGGGCCCTGCCGCTGAGCCAGCACGAGCGTATCTGGCCGAACTACATCCAATTTGTGACCAAGTGCCGTGTGCCAGACACGGCCATGCGCGTGTTCCGTCGCTATCTCAAGGTGCGACGCTTCCGGGGTCCTTCTTCTCCCCCCCCCCCCCCTTGTCCCTGCTCCTTGCTCTTTGTCTCGCCGCCTTTCTCCTTCTCTCTCCTCTCTCCTCTCTCCTCCCTCTCTCTCTCGCTCTCTCTCCCGCCCCTCATCATGCATCGGCTCCGCACTGACCGCCCTCCTGCCTGCTGCCTCCTGATCGAGCAGTTTGATCCGACGAAGGCCGAGGACTTTGTGGAGTACCTGATCGCGGAGAAGCGTTACAACGAGGCGGCCGAGCGCTTCTCCAAGCTGGTGATCGACGACACCCACCGGTCGAAGGACGGCCTGACCAAGCAGGAGCAGTGGCTGGAGTTCCTGGAGCTCTGCTGCAAGAATGCCAACGGAATCACGTCCATCTCGGTGGAGGCCTTTGTTCGGCATGGGATCCGCCGGTACACGGCCGAGCATGCTGGGCGTCTGTGGACCACGCTGGCGGACTACTTCATCCGACTTGGGCAGTTTGAGAAGGCGCGCGACATCTTCGAAGAGGGCATGGATCTGGTGAGCCTGGTCCGGGACTTCAGCCACATTTTCGACGCGTACGCCAAGTTCGAGGAGACCCTGGCCGATGCGCTGGCGGTGCGTGCTCCTGCTGTGTGCCTCTGTGGTGTATCTTTCTGGTGGGCGTTTGTTTGACACGGGCTCCCGCCCCCTTGCCATGCTCCCCGGGCATCGTGTGCATGCATGTCCTGGTCTCCGCGCGCGCGCCCCCCCCCCCCCCCCCCCCCCCCTCTGGGCCCATCTGCCCTCCTCCTCTCTCCCTCTCGCTGCCTTTCCCTCGCCGGTAGAATGCCGAGCTCGATGCCACCCCCGAGGGGCAGGAGTTTGAGCCGTCACAGGAGTTGCAGCTGGCCCTGGCGCGCTTTGAGCATCTGCTTGACCGTCGGCCGATCCTGGTGAACGATGTGCACATCCGCCAGGACCCGAACAATGTGCAGCAGTGGCTGGAGCGCTGTCGCCTCCACGAGGCGGACCCGGAAAAGGTGCGCCCAGTATCCACGTCGATGTCCCCTGCCCCCTCTCCCTGGAAGGGCATTCGCTTCTGTCGCCCCCTCTGATCCGCTCTTTCTCACCCACCCTCTCCGATGTTGCTCTGCTCCTACACCGGCTGCCCTCTGCCGGTGCCCCTCGGCGGCGGCGGCGACCGGCTCTTCGGCGTGTGGCACAGGTGGTCAGTGTGTTCGAGGATGCCATCTCCTCGGTAGATATCTACACCAGTGGCAATGGGCACTATGTGGACCTGTGGAAGGCGTATGCTCGGTACTTTGAGCAGGGCCGGCGCTTCCCCGGCCCGGATGACACGGTGCCAGCTGGCGCGGCCGATCTCGACAGCGCGCGGACCATCTTCGAGCGGGCCACCAGTGCCCCGCAGCGTAGCGCTGCCGACCTGGTGGACTTGTGGATTGCCTTCGCCGACATGGAGCTTCGCCACCAGTGCGTCCGGCGTGTGCCTGTTTGGGGTTTGCTTTTATCTGTCCATTTCTCCGTATCTCTTGAGATGTGGCCTTAACGCAAGCTCCCCCCCCCCTCCCCCCCCCCCTCGCGCTTCTCTCGTGCGGCAGGAACTTCGATCGGACTCGCGAGGTTCTCAAGCGCGCCACGCGGACCCCTTCCAAGAAGCGCGCTCACCCGCAAGCCGGCGCGTCAGAGAGCATGCTCGAGGTGCGTGTCCCTCATGCTGGCCGAGGATGCCGCCGTGGCCGATCCCAAATCAACTGCGGCCCATTCATCGCGGTCTGACCCCCTTTGCCCCTCCTCCTCCTCCCTCTACCGGGATTCTGGCATGTGGCCGTGCATGGGGGTGTATGCGTGTTGCTTGCTGGTGTCCCCCCCCCCCCTCCCTCCCTCTGCTCGCCCCTTTGCCGGCCGCTTCGCCACGTGTGTCGCAGCGTGTCGCCCGCGACCAGCGTCTCTGGAACTACTACGTGGACTTCGAGGAGTCCCTCGGGACGCTGGAGTCCTGCAAGGCCGTGTACGACCGGATCCTGGATCTCAAGATCGCCACCCCGCAGACGATCATCAACTATGGGACCTTCCTGGAGGAGCACAACTTTTTCGAGGACTCCTTCCGGGCCTACGAGCGCGGTGTCAGCGCCTTCCGCTTCCCGGCGGTCTTCGAGATTTGGAATGTCTACCTGCCGAAGTTCCTCCAGCGCTATGTACGTGTGGGCCGTTTTGCTGCATGCCCTTTGCTGGTCCGAGGTCGCGGCCTGCTTGCGCTCTCCCTCGCCGGAACTGACCAAGGTCCTCCCATCGCGCCTCCCTTTCGGATTCCGACATCTGTCTCTCGCGGCTGCCTCCTTCCGGGGGCATGGCATACACACGCCGCGCAGAAGGGCACCAAGCTGGAGCGCACGCGCGATCTCTTTGAGCAGGCGCTGAAGGACTGCCCGCCGTCGCAATCGCGGCCACTCTTCCTCATGTATGCCTCCTTCGAGGAGGAGTACGGCCTGGCCCGGCGCGCGCTCATGGTGTACGAGCGGGCCACGCAGCATGTGCCGGTGGCCGAGAAGCACGAGGTGTTCCTGCTGTATGTGGCCAAGGCGGCCCAGATGCAGGGGGTGGTGGCCACGCGGGACATCTATGCCCGGGCCATTGAGGTTTTGCCGGATGCCGCGGCGCTGGACATGTGCGTGCGCTTCGCCGAGCTGGAAGTCCAATTGGGCGAGGTCGCGCGCGCGCGGTCCCTCTTCGGCCATGGGGCCCAGTTTGCCAATCCGAAGACCAACAAGGAGTTCTGGCAGAAGTGGGACGCCTTCGAGGTCAAGCACGGTGATGTGGAAACCTACCGGCAGCTGCTGCGCGTGAAGCGCACGATGGCCATCAAATTCGGAGCATGAGCAATGTGCCATGGCCACACGGCGCTGGCAGGCGCCAGGCGCGGCCCCCTGTGCTTGACTTCCCCCCTGCTTGTGAAGTGTGCGCACACCGCGCCGCATAGATTGAATATACTCTGGGTTTTTTTTTGATGCAATCGAACAGCGAAAGACAAAGGGGACCAGAGGAAAGCACGCGCACGTGTGCTGCGATTGAGACAAGGAGCCGGGGCGAGGGGCTTGATCTATTGGGGGAGGGGGCGCAGGAAAGAGAGAGAGAGAGAGAGAGAGACTGTCCAACCAACGCCGTGTGCTTGCACGTGTCTGGCGCCGGCGAGGGGAGAGGGGGGCGGGGTCAGATGGCGGCGCCGTGGGTGCCCGGCTGGCCGGGCGCCAGGGGCACCGGCTCCGGGGCCAGGGCCCCGGCACCAAGGAGGTCAAAGAGCGACGCCCCGCCGGGCAGCGACACCGGCGAGCAGACTGGGCAGACGAAGTCCAGCCCAGCCGAGTCCGGCAGAGTGGGCGACGGCGCGGGCGCCGACGCGGGCGAGGTGGCCAGGCCGGCGAGGCTGGGGCCCGGGCGCAGACACGCCCGATGGGCCGCATGCGCGCAGGGGAAGGCCACGATCTGCTGGTCGAGGGGGTTGTTCGGGTCGGCGGCCACGGGCTCCGCGCCGAGGGGCTGGCCGCAGTTGGCGGCACAGGGGGCCGTTTGCACGGCCACCAGGACGCCCCAGTGGGTCTGATCCTCGACATACTGGGCCGTTCGGCTGGGGAGCGAGGCCCCGGGGGTGGGCTTGAGCCCGAGCCCCGGCCGGTCGGCCAGGCCGCCGCCGCCGCCGCCGCCGCCGCCGGGGCCGCCTCGGGGCGAGGGCGCCGGCGTGGCAGGGACCGCCGCCGGGGCCGGGGCGACGGTGCCGGCCGCCGGGTCGGCCGGGCTTTGGTCCTCGACCGGCATGTGAAGGTGCGCCTGGATGGCCGGATGGATGCTGGCATCGCGCCGGCCCCAGAGGTAGATGTCCGTGGTTTCGGCCATGGCGTGGACCTCGGCCGCCTGGCCACGCTGGCGGAGCTCCTCGCGCCACAGGCGCCCGGCTGCCCAGGAGGCCGGGCCAACACCGGCGGCGGCGCCGGCGGCGCCGGCGGGGCCACCGGGCCCGGTTGCACCGGCCCGGTCCGTGTTGCCGGTGTCGCCAGCCAGGGTGGCCTCCGCCGGGTTGAAGTCCACCGCGCCGACGGCCAGGCATCCGAGGAAGGCCGGTCGGACCAGCAGACCCAGGTCGGCCACCGGCTGGAGCATGTCCAGCGCGGCGCTCGTCGAGCCGAGATACGCCGCCGCATGGAGGACAACTGTGTGATGTGGCAGGCGGGGGAGTGGCAGAGGGGGGAAAGGGGCGCGGGGAGATGGAGAGGTCAGTGCCATGGGCAGGGCCATGCCGAGAGGAAGGGGCTGCCGGGCGCACCAAGCTCCGAGAGGAGCACCCCGCCGGCCGGGTCCTGGGGGGCCCAAATGTGCGCGGGGCCTGCCTGATGGGGGGCCAGCGCATTGGCACCGTGGCGATCGAGCGCGGCCAGGGGGTGATCCTCGGTCGGGGCGTCGGCAACACGAGCGGCCTCCAGCTGCTGGATCAGCTCGAGCGCCTGAGCCAGGGCAGCCTTATCGGGGATGTCTGTCGGCGAGCAAGCGGGCATGGGCATGCGCGTGCATGTGGGTGCAGGTGTGGTCGTCGGCGTGGTCGTCGGCATGGGCATGCGCGTGCATTTGCGCGTGCGTGAGTGGGACAGACAGCAGGAAGGATGGAAGCAGGCGGGCAGGCAGGCTGGCAGCACGCACAGGCGAGGGCACGCTCGAGAGCGCCGATGTCAGCCAGCAATGCCGCCAGGACCACGGTGTGCGCCCAGAGGGAGGACAGCGCCCCGGGCTCGGCCCCGGCCGCGGACACCAGGCATCCGGTCCCGAGTTCCAGGGCGTTCAGCTGCAGCTCCAGGCAGCGAGCCCAGTCACCAGTGAGACGGGCGCGCGAAGCCGCGTGGCGCTGGAGCTCTGCCGTCGAGCGGAAGAGCAAACTCGACTCGAGGCGGTCGAGCCTGAGCAGGCGTGCATGGGGTGGCCCCACGTCAGTCAAAGAAGCGAGAGAGAGAGAGAGAGAGAGAGGAGGCCAACAGCCATGAGACGACCTCAGGCAAGAAGGGAGGCCCTCGCGGAGAGGGGGGGAGGGAGAAAGAGGGAGAGAAAGAGGGAGAGCAGAGCACAAGGCAACCCGTGGCGTACCATTCACGCTGAGGATGGGCAAGGGCAAAGTCCCGGCTTTCGGCGCTCGGGGCCCAGAGGGGCAATGGAAGCTCCGGTCGCCAGGTGGCGAAGCGCGGCTCCGGGGCCAGGAGCGCCTCGCGCGCTGGCGCCCGGGTGACTACGTCCCACGGCCGCAGGAGGGCGGTGGTGTGTGCATCGGCCAAGAGCAGAATGGCCTCCGGTGGGAAGACCCCGCCAGCCGGGGCACCGGACACGTCCGACGCCAGGGCGGCGTGCCAGCGCGCCGAGCACAGCACCCGGCGCAGGTACCGGCCCAGGAGGGCGAATGGCCGGGCCGAGGCACGATCCCCCGGGCCCGGGGCGGCATCGGGCTCCAGCAGGGCCGAGCAGCCCAGCAGCCGGGCTACCGTCCGGTGCCCCAGCAGCGGGTGACTCGCCACGCAGGCATTCTCCAGCAGGTCCTCCACATCGGCTCGGAGAGGCTGCTGCTGCTGTTGCTGCTGCTGCTGCTGCTGCTGCTGCGCGGCGTCGTTGGCCCGGGTCCCCGGGGCAGGGGACTGGCCAAGGGACTGGAGTTGGTACGCCAGGCAAAGGAGCCCCAGGGGATCGTGCGTCGCCAGCTGGCCGACATCCAACGGCGCGGCGGCCTGATCGGCCGCCAGGGCATACTCCAGCAGGTGGCCGGGGACGCTGGCCGAGGTCCCGGCCATGCGGACCAGCTCTAACGCCTCCTCCAGCAGGGAATCATCCCCATGGACCAGGCTCGCCAGGACCGCCAGACGAGGGTCCAGCAGCTGGCAGGCCGGCCGGAGCCCGGCATCCAGCAGGGCGCCCAGGCCGAGGAGGAACCCAGCCCCGGTGAAGGCCTCGCGCTGAAGGGCGGACGGCCCGTCCGCCCCATCAAGCAGGGCAAGCACACGCTCGGCAGGCTGGGCGGCCAGCCAGCTGGCCGCGGCCAAGACCGCAGGCACCCGGTCCACCGTGAAGAAAGGCAGTGGCCCGAGCGCGCCCTCCAGCTGCTCGTGCAGCGGGTCCGGCAACAGAGCCGAGTCCAGCAAGGCAGCCGTGTCCGGGAATGCGGCCCCCTGGAATGACGGTCCGGCATCCAGGGCGACTGTGCGTTTGCGGATGTGTGCACGGGCGCGGGCACGTGAGTATTCGGAGGAGGGGGAGGAAGGGCAGGTCGGGGGGGGGGGGGGGGGGGGGGGCAAACACCACCGCGAGGGGGGACCACCCCAGGAGGGGGACCAACGTACTGGAGGCAAAGGCAGTTCTGAAGAGGCCGGCGTCCGGGAGGTCCTCGGCGACTGGATGATTGCATGTTGCGGTGAGACACGGGAAGAGAGGGAGCGCGAGGGGGGCGAAGGGGAGGAAGGCGCACAGTGTTGCTCCAGCAGGGCCGTGACATCTACGAGGCTGGGCATATCCTCCTGGAGGAGGGGCGTTTGCGCGGAATCGATCTCGGTCGAGGCGTCATCCGCCGCCCCGCCCGGGGCCCCCTGCTCCGGGGCGTCAAGGCTCAGCAGGGAGGACGCGGCCGACACCGACCGGCGGAAGAGCAGCGTCAGGTCGGTCAGCGAGCTGGGCGACGAGGAGAGCTCGGCATCCGGCTCCCCGGTGCTGGCCGTGAGCGAGGGCGCATCGTCGGCGAGGGGGGCCGCCGGGTCGGCCAGGTCCCCGGGCCCAGGCCCGGCGCCGGTCCCGACCGGCAGCGACATGCGCAGGGCCGCCTGCAGCTTGCCAGTGAAGGCCTCATGCCCGACGATGTCCCCCTGGGCCGGGGTGGTGCCGGCCAGGGGGAAGGACGATCCGAGCCCCGTGTCCGAGGCCCAGGAGGCCGGATCTTCCAGGGGGGTAGCCGGCGAGGAGGAGGCATGCGTCGGGCGGGACCGGCGCCGACGGGCCGAGATGCTGATGGACACCGGGGCCGAGGGGGCCGATTCTGTGCCGACGTCCGGGCTCGCCAGCGCGGCGGGCGCCACGACTGCCGGCGCGTCGGCCTGGTCGAAGTATACTGGCAATCCCGGGAGGGGGGGGGGGGGGGGGGATGAAGAGAGGCCGGAGGGCGGAAAGTGCGCCACATGCATGGGCGCGTGTCAGAGGAGCTGAAAGGGGCGAGGGGGGAGGACACCAGGCACCCTGGAGAAAGGCACGGGACGAGGGGCGGGGCGCACCGATGGAGGTCTTCTTCTTCCGGCGCTTGCTCTCCTTCGGCAGTTTGGGGCTGGTCCCGGCCAGCGGGGGCGAGGCGGCCGAGTCGTCGACGCTGGCCGTCAAATCGGTCTTGCGGGTTTTGGGCTTCTTGACCTTCTTGATGGGGATGGCCAGGGCCGGCGGCGGGAGCAAATCGGCCGTCAGCTGGTCCAAGCTGTCGGGGGAGAGGGCGCGCGCGGCTGGCGGGGCAGCCTGGAAGGACACCGGGTCGAGGGGGCGCGCCGGGCCGGCGGGCGTTGACGACACCGCGGCCGCGGCCGCCGCCTCGCGAAGGGTTCGACTCAACAGCGAGGAAGACGACGGGGGCAGTTGGCTGCTCGGGGCCGGGAGCGGGGGCAGCGAGGCCACCTCCGCCTGGGCCGGCCCGGTGGATGGGCTGCTTGTTGACATCGCTGACGGAGCATCCACCGAGGGGACCGGGCCTGGCGTGGCAGCCGGCGAGGCTGGACGCGGCTCGGGAGGCGGAGCCAGTGCATCGCCCGGAGCAGGGGCGGGCGCGGGCGCAGCCACAGGCGCGGGCGCGGGCGCGGGCGCGGGCACGGGCGCGGCCACAGGCGCCGGTAGGAACTTATCCATCTCGAGTGCCAGCTGGCCCAGCGCCGAGACGGCAGGCGCAGGCGTGACTTCCTCGATGCCAGGCTCCTCGGGGGAATCGTCGCAGGCCGCGCGCCTGGCAGAGCCGGCCGGAGGGTCGAGGTCGGCGGCCGGCAGGAAAGCCGAGATGGCAGACCACTCGCCGGCGGTCAGGCCACAGGTGGCAATGTCTTGCAGGGCCTCCTCCGCGAAGGAGGTCACCACGGTGGCGGCGGTCCGGCCAAGGCCACACGAAATCAAGGCCTTGGAGGCGGCCCACGCGCCGCCCTGCACCAGGTCCAGGCAGATGATGCGCTGGTCCTGGCGCCCGAAGGCGGCCGGCAGCCGGGGCGAGGAGCCGCTGCTGGCCGGGGTCAACGGGGGGGAGCCCCCGGCCGGGGGGACCACCATGCCGGGGTCCTCCCCGCCGGCCGGCAGGGTGGCCAGCAGGAAGAGGCCGAAGATCGGCGCCCCGGGCCGCGGGGCGCCCCGGAGGACGGTCGTCGGGAAGGCCGGCTGTCGGACCACGGCCACGGAGTCGATGCGCAGCGGGGCCAAGCTCAAACGCAGAGACACATCCACCAGGTCAATGTCCACCAGGGCCAGGGACGAGCCCTGCGGCGACCAGGACAGCATGTGCTGCGAATCGAGGAAGGATGCCAGGCGCCCGAGCTCGAAGGGCACCGATGATGGCGCCGCGGCACCCGGCGCAGCCGAACCGCCGGCCTCCCCGGAGATGCCATTCACCGGGCAGGCAAATGCCCCGGAATCCCGGGCCAGGGCCGATTGCGCCGGAGACAGGCCGGTCCAAATCCGAGCCTCGGTCGCGCTCCCACCGGCGAGATTGGCATCGTCATCTTCCCCGTGCGGCGGCCGGCCCGCGTCCTGCTTCTCGTGTCCCTCCTCCTCCTGCTCTTCCTCCTCGGGGGACTGGTCCTCGTTGAAGTCGAGCGTGGCCTCGACCTCGCCATCCCGGCGCGAGGTGTCCACCGCCCAGGCGAAGCCGCCCGGACGCGACACCAGCGCCAGAGCGCCGCGCTCCAAGATCGGCAAGAACATGTTATCATCATCGTCCTCCTCCTGCTCCTCCTCCTCCTCTTCCCCCTCGGGACTGGTGCGGGCGGTGGTGGCGGCGGCGGCGGCGGCGGCATGGGATGCCATGCGCTGGGCCATGTGCGCGCGCGCCGCCGCCGCCGTGGACACGGAAAAGTGCGCAGCGCCATATTGGCCGAATCTGGCGCGGAGCAGGGCAAGGTGGCGCCGACAGGAGGGCGGTCAGTGGCGTCACGCCCACGGGCAAGCAGCGAAGCGCCGGCGCGGAAGGAGGCACATACCGCGGCCGGCGGCCGATGGGCACACAGGCATTGGTGGCCACGTCGATGAGGAGCGTGCGCGACACCGTTGACGCGAGGATCTGCCATCGGACGAGGCGGGGACAGAGGGTGAGTCGCATGATGGAAAGCGCCGGGGGGCGGGGGGGGGGGGGGGCAGGACAGCAAGCAGCGTACCGTGTGAAGGGAGATGTCCAGCTGGACGATGTGATCGGCGGGCGGGTCGCCGAGGTCTGGGAGGATGCGCGTGACGACCTCCGAGCTGACGAAGAGATTGAGGAACTGGACTCAGGGGGGGGGGGAGAGACACATGCGCATACACACACACACACACACACAGACACAGACACGAAGGGCAGAGGGGAAGACACCTGCCGGTCAGAGAGGGAGGGCGGACGAGGAGGCGCAGGCGCACGCGCAGGCGCAGGAGGGAAATGTCACGCTGGGGCCATCTTACGAGCCATGGCCATGGCGTACCTTCTCATTTTGCACCGCGGTCGACCGGAGCTCGCCGGACGAGTCGCAACTGAAGATCTTCCGCGCGAGGGCCTGCGAGTCGAGACCCGGATCCGCGAGCGAGGCCAGCGGCGGCCACCAGTGAACCGCAGTGACCGGGGCCCGGTGATCGCCGGTCTTGAGCAGGAGCTGTGCGAGAGGGGGCAGGTCAGTGACGACCAGTGCCAGCGGGCGAGGGGCGGCTAAAAGACATGGGACCGGGAGGACGGGGCGGCCCGACAACAAGCCGGAGATGGCAGAGGGACCGGCGAGGCGTACCTTCTCCTTGCACTTGATGCTCCCCTGGCCGAGGTCCCAAATGTGGATGCTGCCGGAGGAGGTGCCCACCGCCAGGAAGCACCGGCTCAGCAGGGCCGAGTGCCGCGCCCGCGCGGCCGGGTCAAATTCCGGCACCAGGGTCACATCCTCCGGATCGAAGAGGGCCAGGCTGGTGATGGACCCGAGCACCGACTTGTGCGACAGGACAAACCGCTGGCGGAAGGACCGGTCATGGTGCGAGAGTTCCGGCGAGGACAGGACGAACACCGTGCCGCCGGTGGTGCCCAGCACGAGGAACCTGCATCAGCCGGGGATGTGGTCAGCGCCTGGATGGGGAGGGGCGGCCAAGTGCATGCGGGGGGGGGGGGGGGGCAGAGCCTGCGCACCGGGAACTGGCCGCGATGGCCGAGAAGCGAAAGCGCCCGGAGGCATTCAGTTCGTCGGCGGTCGGTTGGGCCGACCGCGTTTCCAGAGCGATGAAGGGCATTTGGTTGTGTGGCTGTTTGTTTGTTTCCCGCGGCGAGGGACGAGGCAGGGAGGGGGAGATGGGGAGGACGGCGCGCCCCGGCGCTGCTGGGGGAGTGGGAGGGGCGGGCGCGGGCGCGCCGGTCGGTCGGGCGGGCGGG